CCTCCTCCTCCTCCTCCTCCTCCTCGCGGCCCCCGCCCCGGAAACCGGGCTCGCTACCGGAGGCGGGGGCGGGGCGGGGCGCGCGGGTGGTTCGTGGGCCCGCCCTCTCCGCCGCCCGCGCGCCCCACCCGACGGCTCGCACCTGCTTGGCCGAGGAGGCGGGAGGGAAAGTGGGTCAGCACGGGGGCCGCTGTTGTGCTTGGAAAGGGGCCCGGGGCGCCGGACGCCTCTCCCGGGCGCGGCGGCAGGAGCGCCCGCGCGTAACACGCCAGGCACAAAGGGGCGCGGGCGTGCGGGGAGAGGCCGTCGGGCGCCGCACGCGTGGGCTGAGTCCCCCTTCCCGGCCACGGCACTGGGCGGCCGGGGGCTCTCCTCCCCCCGAGCGACATCCCCACGCAGGGGCCTGCCACGCCCGCTCTTCGTCCGCCCCCGGGCTGGGTCTGGGTGGCTCCGCCCTGCCCCTCCCTGCCCTCTGGTGTCAGCCACAGGCCTCAGCAGCTGGAGTCCTCCTGGGAGCATTTTTGTGACACCTCTGGGGGACCCGGTCCCCTGACCCTCCCATGCTAGGACTCCACAGTCCTAACATGCCCAGAACTCTGGCTCCTGATGGAACTGGGCCTCCTTACTGGAGAGCCTCTCCCCTGGGTCACCTGATGAATGTTTCACCTTGTTCTGGAAGCTCTCCAGGTCTCGCCAGAATGCCTCTCCATCCCTTGGCTCCTGTTGCACAATTTGCATCCTGCAGTGCCCACGCCTGGCGCAGGCCCCTTCTGGGTCTCTGGGAGGCTGGCCTCTGAACGCTGGGCTGAGCCAGCTTCTGACCCACGAGGGGCCCAGAGCTGCCACATTCTTACCCCGCTCCAGGTTTGAGAAGGTATTTCCATGGGAAGCCTGTGTCAAATGTGCACCCTTCCTGCGTGTCCTCATGTGTGGGCAGCAGTAGCTGCACAAGGCCACAGTTGGCACTGTTGAGTCTGGGGTGCTCTCTGAGCTTCTCTGAACCCAGATGAGTGGCGCTTGATTGGCCAATGTTGGCGTCCCCCGGCTTGTAGAAGGGCTGGTAGCTCCCGACCATGTGTCTACCATGTGCCTACTGCAGATGGATAGCTGGACACCTGCAAGCCTTCTACAGATGCGGGAAGGAGGGAATAGGGAGAAGGGGGAAATCAGTTTAAAAAAAAAACGACCTTTTCCAGCACCTGGGAGAGAAGTGGCTCTTGCATCACGAGCCAGGCACTTAAATTAGCTGGGCGTGGTGGCACATGCCTGTAGTCCCAGTTACTCCGGAGGCTGAGGCAGGAGAATTGCTTGAACTCGGGAGGCAGAGGTTGCAGTGAGCCGAGATCATGCCACTGCACTCCAGCCTGGTGACAGAGTGAGACTCTGTCTCAAAAAAACAAAAAACAAAAAACAACAACAACAACAAAACTTCTATATATTAAATAAATGGCGATTAAATCAGAAAAATCTGTGCGACTTTTGAGTGTGATCCTCAGAAACTCAGGCCCCTCGGGGAGTTAGGCAGGGGCCGTGGAGGTCCCTCAAAAAAAGGGAGAACTGGGGGTTCCCCTCAGATACCTCCACATGTCACACTTCCCTGCAGGACTGGATTTGGGCTTAAGCAAGCAGTGCCAGTTCCTGCCCTTGGCAACACCCGGGCCTCACCAAGCTCTGCCCGCCAGCTCTAAGCCTCTAGGATTTCAGACAAATCCTCAAACATAAACACAGAGCCCTATGGATCCTCTCAAGAAAAGCCAGGCTCGGGCCCTGCCTATTTGGTTATGAGAGAGATTTCATGAGCTTTGTTGTAGTTGGCTTTTGTGTCTGAGGCCCAGTTATCGCCTTCTGGAATCTCCCTTCCTCCTTGTAAACTCCAGCTGAGTTTTAAGGCTCAGAAGTTCTCAGGGAAAGCAACACTGGATATTAAGACCTGGAAGTTGATTTTTTTTTTTTTTTTTTCATCAACTAGCCCTTCTTTTAAGTCTGTTCATGGCCAGACGTAGTCTGCGGCTTCACGTAGCAACGTCTGATTAAATGATGCCCAGCCTATCCTGGGGCCATAGACAGATAATTGCAGTGCTTGATTTTTTCATTTGATGAATAATGAAAGCTTTGCTCATTTTGTGTGTGTGGGAAAGAGACAACTTTAATATATTTGAACTTGAAAACGGCTTTTGAGTATTGCTGTCCTGACACACTATAACACAGCCCTGATTGGTTATCTGCGAACCTTTGAAAACAGAACATGCAGGCCGGGCACGGTGGCTCAAGCCTGTAATCCCAGCACTTTGGGAGGCCGAGGCGGGTGGATCACGAGGTCAAGAGATCGAGACCATCCTGGTCAACATGGTGAAACCCCGTCTCTACTAA